ATAACAGAATATCGAAGTCCAACAACTGCGAAAAAATAACAAAGAGAAAAAAGTCCAAAGGAAAGTTACAGAAAGCAAACAAGGAGGAAGCAAAAATAGAGGTGACGCAGCAGAGAAAGAGGAGATAAAAGAGAATGACCGAGAAATACGCCACGCAGAAGAAAAGAAGAAAGAGAGAGACAAAGAGGTGGATAAAAGAGAATGACACGATACGTAGAATGAAAAAAGAGAGAAAAAAAAAATAAAATAGAGAGAAGGGAAAAAAAGGAGATGGAAATAAAATGACCAAGAACTACGACACGAGAAAAAAAGAGAGAGAAAAAGAGTCGAAATAAAGAGAGAGAGAATAAAAGAAAATAAAAAAAACAACCAAGAACTGCCACACGAGAACGCGCCAACAAACAAAAGACCATCGAGAAACGCAGACAGCCAAGAAAACACGGAGACGACCACCAACAATAACAACAATAACAACAACAACAACAAATAACAATAACGACAACGAAGACCCATCGCAGGAGAAGTAACAGAAGCCTCATTAACGGCCGGTAACAAGGCAGGTCGAAAAGCCGAGGTAATTAGGTCGTGTAAAATACGTCGTTTGGGTTGGGTCTTTGTGCAGGCTCTCCCGTGCAGGCCGAGCGAGCGCTCCTCGGGACGTTTGGGTCGAGGAACACGTGGCTCCTCCTACTCCTCCTCTTCCCCCTCCTCCTCCTTCTCCTCCTCCTCTTCTTCTTCTTTCTCTTCCTTCTCCTCCTCCTCCTCCTCCTCCTCCTTCTCTTCCTCCTCCTCCTCCTCCTCCTCCTCCTCCTATTACTCCTCTTCCCTCTTCATCTCCTGCTCCTCCTCCTCCTCCCTTCCTCCTCCTCCTCTTCCTCCCCTTACCCCGCCTCTTCCTTTTCTTACCCCTCCTCCATTTCCCCCTCCTCCTCCTCCTCCTATTCTTCCCCGTCCTCTTCTTCTTCCTCTTTCTCCTCCTCCCACTCCCTCTCCCCCTCCTCCTCCTCCTCTTCCTCCTCCCCCTCTCCCCTTCCTCCTCCTCTTCCTCCTCCTCCCCCTCCTCCCCTTCTCCCCTTCCTCCTCCTCCTCCTATTCTTCCCCGTCCTCTTCTTCTTCCTCCTTCTCCTCCTCCCACTCCCTCTCCCCCTCCTCCTCCTCCTCTTCCTCCCCCTCCTCCCCCTCTCCCCCTCCTCCTCCTTCTCCTCCTCCTCCTCCTCCTCCTCCTCGTCCACCCCCTCCCCCTCTCCCCTTCCTCCTCCTCCTCCTCCTCTTCCCCTTCCCCCTTTCCCCCTCCTCCTCCTCTTCCCCCTCCTCCCCCTCTCCCCCTCCTCCTCCTCCTCCTCCTCCTCCTCCTCCTCGTCCACCCCCTCCCCCTCTCCCCTTCCTCCTCCTCCTCATCCTATTCCCCTTCCCCCTCTCCCCCTCCTCCTCCTCCTCTTCCCCTTCCCCCTCTCCCTCTCCTCCTCCTCCTCCTCCTCCTCCTCCCCCTCCTCCCCCCCTCCCTCTCTCCCCCTCCTCCTCCTCCTCCTCCCCCTCTCACTCTCCTCCTCCCCCCTCCCTCTCCCCCTCCTCCTTCTCCTACCTATCCTCCTTCCCCCCTCCTCCTCCTCCCCCCCTCCTCCTCCTCCTCCTCCCCCCCTCTCACCCTCCTCCTCCTTCTCCTCCCCCTCCCTCCTCCTCCTCCTCCTCCTCCTCCTCCTCTTCCTCTCACCCTCCTCCTCCTCCTCCTCCTCCTCTTCCTCCTCCCCCCTCCCTCTCTCCCCCTCCTCCTCCCTCTCCTCCTCCTCCTCCTCCTCCCCCTCTCACCCTCCTCTTCCTCCCCCTCCCCTTCCTCCTCCTCCTCCTCCTCCTCGCCTTCCTCCTCATCCTTGATTATGAGAAAAACCTCATACATTCCATCTCGTGGAGTTTATAATATAACATAGACTTGTTATTAACTTTCATATGAGTTTAGGGTAAAGAGCCTTAAGGTAAACAAGCATTTGTAGAAAAAATAAACAATGTATTTCGTTGTAAAACTATCCATTAGCATTTATCATTATTGGTATTTTTTCTTCTCATTAGGCACTTTGAAGAGATTAGTAATGGTAGTGATAATAATAATAATAACAGTGATAATGATAATGATAATAATAATAGTGATAATGATAATGATAATAATATTAATTATTACTATTATTATTATTATCATTATTACTATAGTGATAACAATGATAATAGTGATAATAATTATAATGATAATGATAATGATAATAATAATAACAATGATACTATGGTAGAAAAAAACAACAATACAAAACTAGATTTATTGAAAGTGAGACAGCAGTTTCGGAATCCACCTGGATTCCAGCCTCAGGTCTGTTGTCTCACTTTCAATAAATCTAGTTTTATATTTTTTTTTTCTACCATAATATCAACACGGTAAGAGTGTTAATAGTAATAATAATGATAATGATGATAATGATAATAATAATGTTGATAATAAGAAGAACAATAATAATAATAAAAATAATAATAATAACAATAGTAATAATGATGATGATAATAAAATAATAATAATAATAATAATAATAGTAATAATAATAGTAATAAAACAATCGCAATAAAGGAAATCCTCCAATCTTATGAAGAGGAAATCAGCATTGCACCAATTTGAAAAAATAAATTAATACTACTACTAATGATAATAATAATTCAATAACATTTCGTCCTCCAGCCTTGAGTCTTAACTTGACTTCGAGGACGACCTTCTGCGGGTGAGGGGGGGAGGAAAGGGGGGGAAGAGGGGTAGTTACATGCGTCTCAAAAAAAATAAACCACGAAAAAGAAGAAAGAAAGAAAGAAAGAAAGAAAAAAAAAAAAGCACAGTGTCATTAATCTGATAGTTCAGATGTCAATTATATTTTACATGAGCCAATTATACCTAAACTTGTGTGCTCACTCGAGGAGAAATAATCGACAAATTACGCCCACGGGATTATTAACCTAACGCGAGAAACGTTCAAGGGTCATTTTTCCTTGCGGTTCAGATCTTATGGCATGGCACTGTCACTACCTTCAAAGGTGCCGCCTGGAAGGGTCAAATTCCAATATCACTCCCGTTATGCCATTTCCACCTTTATTGGTATCTTGAGTAAGGGCGAAACCGGGGATATTTTTCACTCGTTCGGGTGGAAAATAATGGCATATGATATAAGGAAGGAAAGGAATCGTTTTTTTTGTTTTTGTTTTTGTTTTTTGTAAATGAAATCAATGTAGACGCGGTTATGTATGACAATGCCGTGTGTGGTGATGATTATAAGTATAGAGAAGGTAATATTTTTCTCTCCTCCTCCTCCTCCTCCTCCTTCTTCTTCTTATATTCATCTTTCATCCTCCTCCTCCTCCTTCCCCTTCCCCTTCTTCCAACTCACATTCTCTTCCTCTTCCTCCTTCTTCTTCTTTTTCTTCTTCTTATATTCATCACTCATCCTCCTCCTCCTCCTTCCTCTTCCCCATCTTCCAACTCACATTCTCTTCCTACTCTTTCGTCTCATTTTCATTTTCATTTTCCTTCTCCTACTCCTAGCTTCTTCTCTTTCTCTTCCTCTTCATTCTTATTATCGTCGCCCTCTTCTCCTCTTCTTCCGTCTCCTCCTTCTTCTACTTCTCCTCCTCCTCCTCCTTCCTTCTTCTTCTTTTTCTTCCTCTTCATCCTCATCCTCCTCCTCATCCACATCGTCTCCTTCCTCGTCTTCCTCATCCTCATCCTCCTCCTCGTTCTCTTCTTTCTCCTCCTCCTCCTCCTCCTCCTCCTCCTCTTCCTTCTCATCCTCCTCTTCTTCCTCTTCCTCCTCCTCCTCTTCCTCCTCTTCTTCCTCCTCCTCCTCCTCCTCCCTGTTCCTCCCCTTCCTCCCATCTCTGTTACATTATTTACAGTGACAAAAAGCAAACACGATAAATATTGTTCAGAACAATTTCATAAAAAAATGAAAACAAAGGAAATATATATCCCTTATTATGAGAATCATTTGATTTTCTTCCTTTCTCTCTCTCTCTCTCTCTCTCTCTCTCTCTCTCTCTCTCTCTCTCTCTCTCTCTCTCTCTCTCTCTCTCTCTCTCTCTCTCTCTCTCTCCCTTTCATTCCCCCCCCCCTCTCTCTCTCTCTCTCTCTCTCTCTCCCTCTCTCTCTCTGTCTCTCTCTCTCTCTACCCCCCCCCCCCTCTCTCTCTCTCTCTCTCTCTCTCTCTCTCTCTCTCTCTCTCTCTCTCTCTCTCTCTCTCTCTCTCTCTCTCTCTCTCCCTTTTCTTCACTTTGATCTTAAGATGTTTTTCGAGTTTTATATAATTTCAAGATCTTCCTTTGACATCACAGAATCACTAGCTTATTAATACTAGAGATGAGGTTGGCTACCGATGGAAATTCCTTCTGATTATCCTTACCGCCTTTTTTCTCCGCAATAAGTGTGATATTTGGTCGAAAAAATTGAGGCAAAACAACACTATAATCTCGGAAATCTTTGATCTTTCTGCTTGAAAATCCAGAGTAACTTTTGATCCTCTGGGCGTCTCGGCGGCTTCCTCGTAAGAAGACAGCGAATTACTTTTCTCTCCTTTGCTCCTCTTCTCTTTCTTTCGTGTCGAGGAAGGAGGAAGAGAAAGGAGAGAAATGGGGGGGGATAGGGTTGAAGGAGAGAGAGAAAGGAAGGAAAATAAGTGATAGGAGAGAGGGAGGTAGAAGAGGGAGAAAGGAGAGAGGGAGGTAGAAGAGGGAGAAAGGAGAGAGTGGAAAGAAACGAAAGAGAGAGAGAAAGGAAGAGAGGTCTTTTGTCTTCTTCTCTTTCTTTCGTCTTGGGGTCTTTGCACGAAGGAGGAGAAAGGGGGAAGAGTCAAAGGAGAGAGAGAGAGAGAGAGAGAGAGAGAGAGAGAAAGAGAGAGAGAGAGAGAGAGAGAGAGAGAGAGAGAGAGAGAGAGAGAGAGAGAGGGAGGGAGAGAGAGAGAGAGAAAGGGAAAGATGGGAAGAACGAAAGAAAGAGAGGAAAAGAGAGAGAATGAGAAAATGGAAGAAGGAAGATACGAAACTAAAAGGAGAAAAATACGGCGGTTCTTTGTGAAAAGAGATTTACCTGAAAGAGGCGGGAAAAAAACAGAATGTTGTTGCCTTCCTACACATCTATCACAAGAGGAAGTGAAGTGTGAAATCTCGATCTGGCAACATTTTCCGTTCGGGCATATTTTCTCCGGCTTTCTATCTATCCATCTGTCTATCACCTGATGTTTCCTGTCTACCAAGTACCGTTTGACTCGTGAAATGCCGTAGAAGGAAGGGAAGGTCGACGGAAAAGGACTCTGGTTTGGATTAATATATATTGGATTAGCTTCTGTGAGATCTGAAATGTTTGGTGTCTGTGTGTGTGGAATTATGTTTAGGATTATGTACAAAGGGGATTATGTTTAGGATTAATTCTTATCAAATTAGCTTGTCTGTGATCTGAAAAATTTTGTGTGTGTTTTTCTTCATAAAATATAACTTTATTTAACAATTCCTAGAGATTCTCTTTGTTTAATAACGTCTGATTATTTTTTCCGTTCGCAAGTAAGATGTTTTTGTTCATACCTTACAACACCTAATGAACGGAATAGAAAGAATAGATAAACGAATAACTAAATAAAAATGAAAATTAAGAAGGATCTGTGACTTCACTAAAATATTTCTCTTTTTTTCCAGCGGTGACATCAAGAAAGAATCCGTGAAGCAGGTACGTGGAGAGAGAGGGAGGGATGGGGGAGGAGAGGGGGAGTGTGTGTGCGTAAGTGCTTGAATGTGTGTGTTTAGCGGGTAGATGAGTAATATTTTTTAATAATAACTTTTTTTTATAATTTAGTTTGATTCCATTTGTTACAATGGATATTCTTGGTGTGACATACTGTCTGTTTTATTTTGCTTCTAAATAAGTAAGAGAGAGAGAGGGAAGGACGGGGGGCAGGGAGGGAGGGAGAGAGAGAGAGAGAGAGAGAGAGAGAGAGAGAGAGAGAGAGAGAGAGAGAGAGAGAGAGAGAGAGAGGAAGAGAGAGAGAGAGAGAGAGAGAGAGAGTAAAAGAGAGAGAGAGGGGGGGTGATTGAGTGAGAAAGAGACAGACAGACAGACAAACACACAGATAGACAGACAGACAGAGAAAGAGGCAGACAAATAAACAAACAGATAAAGACAGAGAGAAAGGGATAGAGAATGTGTACTCATGCATGAAACAGACCGACAGACAAACAGAGAGTGAGAGAGAAAGGATATCCACGTGTGTATTTGTAATCACATTTAATCATGTTTACAATCAGTCGACTGATTTGGACGTCGCTCTATAGGTCAGCATTCCAAGAATCTCACGCTAATATATTCCCTCCCCAATAGTTTGACCCCAAATGAAGCAATGAAACGAAGCCCCGAATATAATACGAAATCTCTCTCTTGTTTCTCTCAGGTAGCACTATTTCCCGGGCGAGGAAAGCTCTCTACCGTTTTGCCTGAATTTCCTTCCCTCAAGGACGTGCTGTTGCCTCCTCATGTCGCCCCCGATAAGGTGAGTCACTCGTGGTTCGAGATAGAGTCGTTTGTGTGTGTGTGTGCTTGTCTGCGTGTGTATGTATGTGTGTATGTGTGTGTGTATATGTGTGTGTGTGTGTGTTTGTGTGTGTGTGTGTTTGTGTGTGTGTGTGTGTGTGTGTGTGTGTTTGTGTGAAAATATCTATATATAATGTCTTTTCGAAGTATTTTAGTCTCGAAGGAAAAAAAAAAAAACGCCACAGCTATATTGTTTCTCCCTCCATCTTTTTTTTCCATTTTCTTTCATCCCTTCTTTCTCAAGACGAGAATCTTTCCTTCGACTCGAATACTGACTTCATGAAAATGTCTCGTAAGGAAACGATGGTCTTCAAAGAAACGCCATTTTTTGCTCGACCTTAATTAGGGACCTTCTTATCTGAAACTTAATTAGAGAATCCTTCCCTGTCGCGAAGTGATGCAAATGTTATTTTCCTTCGGGATAATTCCCTTCATTCCTTCGTTCCAGCGGCGGGAATCAGGGAGGATCTCAGTTCAATAGTTATCAGTCTATCAATCCATTTATCTATTTGCATGTGTCTATCTATCTAGCTAGCTAGCTATCTAACTATCTATATATCTATACGTATGTGTGTGTGTATAAATATATATATAAATACACACCCACACACCCACACACACACCCACCCACCCACACACACACACACACACACACACACACACACACACACACACACACACACACACACACACACACACATATATATATGTGTGTGTGTGAGTGTGTATATATATATATAAATACACATACACACACCCACACCCACACCAACCCACCCACACACACACACACACACACACACACACACACACACACACACACACACACATATATATATATGTGTGTGTGTGTGTGTGTGTGTGTATGTATATACATACGTATACGTATATACATGTGCGTGTGT